GAAAACTGAAACTAATCACATTGTATATGACGGTTGGAATAATACATCAAAGTTGTGTATTGATTGAACATGTATATGATAAACGTTTATATGCATTATGTTGTATGAGGGGAGATAAGGGATGTACTCCATGGTTTAGGAAGAGATAGGGGATGGACTCCTAAACCGGATGTTATTTGGGAAGAGATAGGAGATGGACTCCAATGATACAGCAAATATGTGTATTAAATGGAAGTGTTAATACAACGAATATGTGTATTATTTGAAGTATGGAGGTGTTTAAATTGTGAGTCATAGACTCATTTGAATTGTGAATCAGGGTAATGTTTTAATGTGAGATGTGGTCTCACTTAACTGTTTGGCCAAGTCCTGAGCCATATCCATGGAATAATTTGGATAAATAAAGAATTATGAAATGAAACATGGACTTTATGTCATGGAATTGGATGATGGTATAAATTGGTTTATAAGTGTTAACCATCTATCAAATGCTATTGTTTTAGTCATTGTTCATATTTGGTTTAGTATATCTGTACTGGGCTGTGGCTCACCCTATATGGGACATTATTTTCAGGTACAGATGGTATGCCGCATCCAAGGACGTAGCTTGGGAGGCTAGAGGCTGAAAGACTTTTTGTATTATCTTTTATGTATTGCATGTAAATCGAGCCAAGGGCTTACTTTGTATAAAGAGTTAGTACTCTTCTTTTGTTGTACCCAAGTGTTGACTTGGAAAGTTGTAAGCCAATAGGACATTTACTTTTGTTGTCAACATGTAATACATCTGTAATGAATACTCTGATAAATAGAAATATGCTTTATCCTCTTATGTCAATGCATGTAAAGAATGTTGGGTTTTATGTATTTTTTTGAGGGCGTTATAATTTAAGTCCTCCAAGGCATGAGACTGTCAGAGGGTCACTAAAGTGACAATTCAGAGGGCCAGTAATTACTTAAGTCCCCCAAGGCATAGGACCTCAGTGGTAGTACTTATTCAAAACAAATGTTTATAAAATCATTGTCAAATATTTTCTAAAATTTAAACAAATATATCCATGGGTTTCAATTTAAGCAAATAGAGTTCAGAAAATAATCCACGTAATTGAAACATTAATATAACCATAAAACATAAAGTATATAAAATAATTCGTAGTAATTCAAAACATTTGTAAAATATATTATGGTGACTCAAGGTATAATATTACTCACCTTATTATTGACCCTCAGCCTTTACTGCTCTATTATTGCTTACTAGTATGCTGTACTTGTTTTGTATCTATGTATCTCTTTCTTGTTCCTTTCCGAAGCTCAGTGACTCACTATTTATAGTGGTAATGTGCACAGTCATGTGGTAAGTTTTTCCACCACGTGTCACTCAAACCATTTGCCATCTGCTGCTTCCCTAAATGACTTATCCAGGTGCTTATCCTAGCTAAATATGCATATTCACCACCCTATGTGCTAGGGTGATGATAGGCCGTGTATATCCCATTTTTTTTTTTTTTAACATTTCACTTTATCAACTATTTAATATACACTCCAAATATGTAAATATATATATATATATATATATATATTTGTGATATTTAATTAAACATTTAGGGTATCATATCAAAGATTACCCTTTAAAGAGAGGATGATCTTCTAGTTCACAAACCACAAGTTGAACACTCTCAAGAGCTAAAATTTGTATTCAAGAATCTTAGTAAGAGGCCTCAAGTTTAGGCTTAGGAAGTGTATGTATAGTGTATGCATATTGCAAGAGATGAAGGAAGAGTGTTTGGCAAGTCTTTGGCTCTTGGCAAAATTTTCCAACTCCAAACCCTTAGGGGAGGCCTTGCATTTATAGAAAAACACTTTCTCATGTCGGAAATATCTATAATGAGACAGCTAGTGCAAGGCATGGTCATGGGGATAGTTGGCTGTCTCAAAATATCTGTTGTCGCTAAACATAGCCGGTTGGCCAATATTTTGTACGGCCGCGCTGCTCATTGAGTGGTCAGGCTAAAAAAAGGGTTTTGGTCCAAATAGGGTGGAAGGCTTGGGTTTGAAGCTCGAAACCGAATTCTTTTGCTGAAGATTCGAACAATTTACATAATGTAACTTTCATCATCGAGTGTTCAGATTGAGGCTCCCAAGTCTTAGGGGCGGTCAAAATAGGGTGTCTACAACCAGCTTTACGTAAAGGTTTGCAAATTGCAGAAGAAAACAGATGGGGAAAAATCTGGACAAAAGATGATAATTTTTTTTAATTAAAACAATTCTTCAAGGCACACAAAGAAATTACTTCATCAACTTATGGAAACTCATCAGCAATATTTGAAAGTGACGAAAAATAATCCAAGGTTGCAACATAACATTCATCCGTAGAGAAGGAAACTTCACAGCAAACATTTTTTGCAACCATATCAAAGGGAAACATGGCAACTTCCAATACGATGACCGTATATTGTCGAGCAAATTCAAGACATCGTTCATCGGGAAAGACAAGGATATAGTTACACACGATCTAGAGAATTGTATGGACACATACAACTCATTAAAATACAACTATTGTTAAAAATATATGTTCTATATACATAATATACTTTTATGTTTTTAAATTACAAAATCAATATCCTTGCTTCTTCATCTTTCATAAACAGTACATGCTACAATGAACCAGAACTATAAAAATATGAACAACATCCTACTCATACTTGAAATAATTATTTTATTATTTAATGACCTATAATCAGATCTTCGTAACTAGCTATTTACAACGTAAGAATTTAAAACGAGTTTTCAAGTAAACATTATGTAATGAATGAAAATGGGAAAATTTATAAATTCGATCCATGCAATAACATCATTTTGAATCCATTCTTGTTTGGATATTTTGGATCTAATCATGTATATTTATTGCAATATTAGTTATAACTTAATTTTTTTAATAGTTCAAAAACTCGTTGATTATAACTTTTATAAATTATATATAACATACACATTTCTAAAAATATACATACAATATTACTCCACGCGCATAATGTGTGGTGCCTAACTAGTTATATTAAACAAAATAAGAAGAAACTTTTGTTAGAAACAAATAGATTTTGCCTAAAAAATTGATTGATTTCTTATGTGAATTTTTAATTGGACCACTTTGCAAAGCATTATGAACTTAAGCATAGCAAATAATATTCAAATAATTATAGAAGTTTATAAGAAGTATTATAAAATAAGGAAGAAAAAGCCAACAAATAATAGATGGAAATAAGGGAGAATACTAGAAAAACAAGGAGCCAAATAAGAATTTTTTCTCTCTTCTCCTTTCTGATAGATGTTCTCTATTACAATGCATATAGGTTTGCTTTTATAAGCATATCAACCGATGCATGATAGCTTGCAATTGGTTCAATGCATGGGATTGTATAAATTACGAAGCCACCTTGGGAGATTTTCACCAACCACCATGAATTAAAAATACTTTTGCTTTTGATAGTGGTTATCCAAAAACTTTTTCTTTTGATAGTAGTTGTCCACATGTTATACAACACTCCCCCTTGGATAACCATATATTAAGAATATGTCTTATTAAAACCTTACCAAGGAAAACCCAGTGGAAAAAAACCTTTGATGAAGGAAAAAGAGTACAATATTCTTATATACCATATAATGGCATGGATATGTTTAGATTGCCTTATTAAAACCTTGCTAAGAAAAACCCAGACAAAGGTAAAAGAGTACAATCTATAAATCTGCTTATATAGATGACTCCCCCTCAATGTTGCATAATATGTCTTTATGCCGACGCATCCCAATATTATGCACCAGCTTCTTGAATGTTGCAGTCGGTAGTGCTTTAGTAAATAGATCTGCCAAATTATCACTTGAGCATATATGTTGAACATCAATATCACCATTCTTCTGAAGCTCATGTGTGTAAAAGAATTTTGATGAAATGTGTTTAGTCTTGTCACTTTTGATATAACCTCCTTTGATCTGTGTGATACATGCAGTATTATCCTCATATAATATGGTTGAACTATCTTTGGTTAAAGATAATCCACATCTTTCTTGAATATGATGGAGCATTGATCCAAGCCAAATATATTATCAACTTGCTTCATGAATTGCAAGTGTCTCTAAGTGATTTGAAGAAGTAGCAGTCAATGTTTGTTTTATTGATCGCCAAGATATAGCAGTATTTCCATAGAAAAAAAATGTATCTTGTTTGTGATCTGGCTTTATGTGGATCAAAGAGATATACAACATCTGCATATCCAATTATTTGCGGCTTTGATTCATTTGAATAAAATAAACCCATATTAGTTGTTCCATGAAGATATTGTAATATTTGTTTCACTCCATTCCAATTCCTTTGGGTTGGTGCAGAACTATATCTTGCTAATAAATTGATAAGAAATGCAATATCAGGCCTGATACAATTTGCAAGATACAAGAAAGCACCAATTGTACTAAGATATGGGACTTCAATACCAAGGAGTTCTTCATTATTTTCTTGAGGTCGAAAAAGATCCTTTTTTATATCAAGTGATCAAACAACCATATGAGTACTCAAAGGAAGAGCTTTATCTATATAAAAGTTCTTTAATACCTTTTGTGTACATGTTCATTAATGTGCAAGAATCCCATTTGACCGGTGTTTGATATGTAGGCCAAGACAAAAAAAAAAAAAAAAAAAAAAAAAATTTACCATGATCTTTCATTCACTACTAGAAAAAGGGGCATTGGACACGGAACAATTTGTGACGGTTTAAATGCCATCGCAAAAAGCAAGCTTTTGCGATGGCAGTTAATGACGTCTCAAGATTATTTTTTTTGCGACGGAAAAACTAAGCCATTGACAAAAAGTAAGGTTATATGCGACGGTACGTTGAACGTTACAAAATTTTTCTAACCTTATTTTTATTTTTATTTTTTGCGATGCTCTTTTGGCAATCTGTCGCAAAAGTTTATTTTTTTGCTCATTCATTCGCGATGGGCCTTACATGGTTGCAAATGGTAATTCCTAAATTCGCGCCACACCTCCCTCCCACTCTCCCTCTTTCCCCATTTTCCCAAACTCTCTGTAATCTCTTGGGATAAAAAAAAAAAAAAAAAAAACCCTTCAATATTCTATCCCAATCTCACTGCTCTCTTCCTTCCTCTCACCCAGTCGTCACTCTATCTCTCTTTGGCCACCATTGAAGTTTAAGCTTTGAGCTTCAACCGAGTAAGATCAGTTTGTTTTTGGCATTATCGACCTGAAATAGAGATAGATCAGTTGATTTTCCGCATCAACCACTGCATAGAAGACGAAGAGAAAGGAAGGGGATGAGAGACTCAGCGAAGAATAACACTTCCTCCCTTAAATCAAGTTTGGAGATTCAAACTAGGGTTTTAATTCGGGGATCTCAGAGGAAAAAAATCATTGGGGATTTCAATTGGAAAGGTAGGGTTTTGATTAAGAACTGACAAAATTAGTTTTTTATGTTGTGGAATTGGGTTTTTTTTTTTTTTGCTTCAATGTGAGTTGGTAAAAGTTGAAATCTTTGAATCTTGTGAAATTGGTTTCGTTTTTGTTCCTCATTTTTAATTTTTCTTTCTTGTTCTACTTTTGAAGGAAACATGGTTTTGGTTTTGTTCATTTTTGCTAGTTTTTTTCGTTTATTATTTGATTTTTTTATTGTTCTTTCTTTTGATTTTCCCCCCCATTTTTGGTTCTTTCTTGTTCAACTTTTGAAGGAAAAATAGTTTTGGTTTTGTTCATTTTTGTTACTAGTTTTTTTTTCAATTATTATTTGATTTTCTGATTGCTTTCTTTTGAATTTTTCCCTTTTTTTGTTCGTTCTTGTTTTTTCGTTTTTGTGTCTGGTTTTTTTTTCCCTCCTCCCAAGAAGTAAATTAGCAAGTGTTAAGTGGAAGTTTGGTTTGATTTTGTGTTCTCTTTTGATCCCTTCTTTCCTTTTGTCCTTCATCATATCTTCTCTCTAAAATCCTAAATTGCTTTCATTTTTTTTTTTTGCTGGTTTTTTTATTTTATTTATATAAACCTGAGATTTATATAGAAGCTTATGAGGCATCTGATGTGTATCCTTTTGTAGTTTTAATTTGCTATTTTTTCCTAAGAGAAAGTGTAGAGTTGGGTTCAATACTATGTGTATCTCTGTTTCTTTTTTTATTTTTTGTTATTTTCTTTCATAAAATGGATAGTTTTAGGGGGGAATTAACAGTTCAGTGTATAGTTGTAAAAACAATTTCAAATTAGTGATAAACTTTACAAATTTTACTAATTGAAATGACTTTTCCATGAGTTAGTAATTTCTTCAGGGAAAAAACACTGATTTATTAATTCCCCTATTTTATTTTATTTTTTATTTATTGTTATCCCTCAACTCCTCTCTCTAATACTTATGAAGGCGTCTTCAATCATGGAGATAGAGTGTGTGTTGCAATTTCCACAATACCATGTGGATCATTGCCCCTAAAAGAGCCTGCGTTTGGGAGGGGATGTATCACTTCAGATCCCTAAGATATCAGATATGTTTTTTAAATTCAAATGTCTCCAGTGTTTTTAGAATTCTATGCTTGTGTTGTTTGACCTGCAGGTAGAACCTATAAAAATTTAAGTAAAAATAAAAAAGAGAGAATTTTTCTATAAATCTTAGTTCTAGACGAATTTTAAACATAATCTGGTCTATATTGCATATGTAGAGGAAATTTTACAACTTTTAAAAATATGGGCATAATTTCTTCTCTCATGATATCATTCTTTTTATTTTTTATTTTTAATATTCTAATGTTCTTAATTTTGGATATTTAGAATATAGCTTAGTTGCATCAAGCCCTTTTTTCTTTGTCAAACCTTCAAAAAAAAAAAAAAAACCTCTTTAGATTTTTAATATATTTTGATCCACATAATCTGATTTGCTTTTGGAATTGAATCAACTGCGTTATTGGTAACCACTGGAAATAAGAACCTCAAAATGAAATTGGTGGGTATTGAATTAACTCAAAATTAAACATGATCACAATTGCCGTAATAGTTTAAGTAGAGACTTTGGGCAAATTATAACTACTTTTCTTGTATACTCTGTTGTTATGAACCTACTTAAAGTTCAAATTCTTGGTAACTAGTGAATTATGTGTTTGAATAAATTGGTATTGTTCATCAAATGCTCTATGGGTCTTTTGATTTCTTTGTTTTCAGAGGATCTTTGTTTTCATTCACATTTGTCTCTGATTTTCCCGACATTGAAGAAACTCTAATGCCTATTTTGATATTTTAACTTATTGCAGCCTTGAGATTGTCTAATTGGATTGAGCAGTGAAGACGACATTATTTCTTCCAAGAGCTCTTGTTCGAAATACTTGAGCTTGCCACCATTCACACCAGTAGGTAAGCTTCTTGCTTAATTTTATGATAATATAATTTTGAAGAAGTGGTAATAGAGAAGTTATGCCTTACATTTAGAAATCTCTGAGTATTTAAGAATAATCTGGAAACTGTTTAATGTATTAATAAAATCAATATGTCATTTTTATTTAATCTTTACCTCTTTTTTTTTTCTTTTTTTTCAGTTTGTAGATATGACAATTTTTATGGATTGTTCTAAAATTTTCTGCTTTTATACTTAAATGGATGCTAAATGTATATTTGTTCCAACTTCGATTCGTTAATCATAAGTGTATTTTAAGTTCATCTAAAATAGCTTTTGCTACATGTGTTTGATTGACTTTATTGAATGTGCAGGGTGATCTTGTATACTTTAAAGAGACAATTATTTATTTTAATTGTTTTACCAGCAATCAAGATCTTATGAGGAAAACTATTGATCAAATGAGATGTTTAATATAGTTCACAATCCGAATTCTAAATGCTTGTCTGTGTTGCCATCATATCTACAAATCTTATAATTGTGTGGGACTTGCATCACTACTGCTACATTTATTAAACAGAACAAAATACTTGAATTTTTTTCCTTTTTTTTTTTTTCTCTGGTCTTATTTCTGATTTTTTGTGCTGAGAATATTTCTTATACATAGTTTTTGGCTAAAATCACCCATATAGTGTACATATGAGAACACTAGACCACTGAGGCATCCAGATATATCTGCATATACAAATAGATTAAGTACCTAATTCAATTTCAGAATGATCAATCTAAAGCCACCAAAATGATCAAGCATGCTTGGCATCGTCGTTGCCGCCTATGATCGGTCAGGTTGTTTATTTCGTGATGTCACTGCCTCTCTAGTTGCCAATCTCGGTACTTTTCTCATACTTTTCCTCCTTAATTTCATAATCGGAATATTGATTTTATTTCATTTCATTTATGGGTATAGAACTCATGAGTCTGTTGATAGGATTACAGGAAACAAATTTCTTAGGTAAAATGGGTACCTCTACTACAGAGTTTTTGTGTTAAAACTCAATTATCCTTGAGTCCTTTTCTTAGGCATGCTTGTTTTTTAGTTTTTTTTTGGGGTTCATTTTCTATCTTCTCTTCTTTTGGGGAGGTGCCTCTTCTCTAATAAGCTTTTTATATATCTTAGCAAATTTGTTTCCTATAAAATATTAACTAACTGAGCTGTGAGGTAGCCCAAAAACGAAATGTACTGTTTAGAAGTAAAAATATTGCCTTTTTTTCCCATAGTAATATAAGTTGACAAAACTGAAACAACTTAAAATGACCTCATTTCAACTTTTTGGTGTTAGTAGGCTACAATAATACCTTCAAGGATGACAAAAATGAAAATCTCACTGCTTCATGCATAGTAAAAATCCTTTTTTGAGAATTATTTGGCAATATCAAAATGTATATTCTGATTGAGAACATCTTGAAATAAGCTGGTGAAAATCTGAAAGTAGATATTGATAGTGCAAAGAGCAATACAAGGAAAAAGTAAAAGAAATGTGTACTTTCATTTTGAAACAATTTCGTATTATGGCATACCTTTGGGAATTACTGGCAATATTTGCTCCTGAATATGTAATATTTGTGAAGCAACCATCACATGGCTTAATCCTAGCTTATTATGGCTTATCTTTTGGCAAAATAAGAGGCAATTACACAACAACTCTGAAGCCTATGTAATTCCCCTATTTAGTCCACTAAATCCGAAAGTAATGATTCCTTGAACATCAACTAAAGCCTTTTGTCTAGAGTTTTTGATTGTATTATAATATGGATGTGAGACTGATTTGGGTATTACTGAGCTTGGTAAGAATCATGAGATAAATGACATAGTTGAGGACATAATTGGGAAAGTATGTGCAGATGTGAGAAAGCTGATGCATGTTTTGGTTACGTTTTTGGTCCAATGAGTGGTAAATAATTGTGCCACTCTCTCTCAACAAAGTCCCCTGAGTAGTAGTTATCATGGGCATGGCTGTAGTGGACCATAAATGTTTTTAGAGACATATGCATGGGATTAGTGTTTGGTGCAACATGATGCATAATAAATTTGCAAATATGGTAGATCTGTCAGTTGGTTGGGCTTAATTAAAAAATCTTTCCTTCGGTGTCAAATCATTATTTGTTTGCTTGAGGGGTACACAATATTGATCATATTTGGTGTAGCATGAGCAAATCATTGACTTGAAGTTTTCTCCTTTTCATTTCCCTTAATTTTGCCCCATACCACAAGGAGCAGACTCAACGTCAACTACCTTCTATGTGGTAATCTTTTAAAGCCAGATTGTGGAGAATCATGGTTGACCCAAATGATTCAACTGTGAAGACAAGCCACAGTAGCACCTGGCATGTGTTGAACTAATTAGAACGAGTGAGGAATTGGATCATTTCTAGAACAATTTATGTGTTTTAGTGTCAAATCTTTGAAATAACTTTCTTTTATCAAGCTTTATTTTAGCACCTTGCAATATAATACTGAGGTAGCATCTTCTACTTGTAGATTTGCGGCAGAGGATTTTCATGGCTTACAGGAGCAAGTGATGAGTACATCTTCTAGAAGCCATAAAATGGTGGTTCGTGTACAACACATTGAAGCTGCACTTGCTCCACTTGAGGTCATATTGGCCCAAAAAGCCACTTACATTTTGCTTACATAGCTGGTATGGCTCATGCACCTGTTTTTAATCTTTTCAATACTTGTATCTATTTCTATATAGATATAAGTATCTAAATCATTTGTAAGCTTGTTTTCCAAAGACAATATTTTTTATTTCATTTCATTTTTTTCCAATAACCACACTTGTTCCTTGAAAGGTGATCATTCAGCGGGTAAGTTATGCTTTTGTGATTTAAGTTTGTTGGGATATGACTATTGACAGCTTAGCAAATGTAGTACAAGTGCATTTAATACGAAAGTGCCATCTGCAACACTGTAGACTGGTCCAATTTTTAAGCCTAACACTTAGTTGTGGATTTATTTATGCTTAACTTGATTTTGTAGGCAACTATTGATCCTCAATGTTAGGTTTTCTTTTTACTACATTAATTTTGCTAGTTTTTCATGTGCTTCATGGAATGCAGTTACTTTGCAGGTTATAATTGGCATTCTCATCTCCAAAATGAGCAAAATCACTTTATTTACGGTGACTTGTCAAACTTTATTATGGATTCCTATGAAGAATGTAGTGATCCACCACGTCTTCAAATGCAACCCTCTTGAGTACGCGATGATATCTTCGCATATTGATATTGGAGCTTACTGTTGATATTAAAACAAGCTATAATTTATACGTTTTTTTATTTGTATTGTCGATACTTTTGTTTTGCTTTAGATACAAATATAAGTTCTTGAATATAAAAATTATTAGTATTGTTGGAAGATGTTTTATATATTTTTGTAAAGAATATTTGGTTGACAATTGTTACAGGGTATATATATACGTATGATTTTGTGAATGTGAATGTGGATGCGGATGTGTGTGGATGTGAATGTATTTTATTTTAGAAAATATTAATAATTTATACAGGGAATTAATTAATAAAATATATATTGATTTTATGAAAATAATTGTATTGTAGCAATAATAAACCGTCGCTAATGTAATCATCATTTCCTTACATTTTATTAGTGACAAGTTAACTTATCGCGTATACATATTAGTTCAAATCTTTAGTGACGGTTAAACCTGTCGCAAATATGGTATTAATTTAATTTTACTTTTTTTCGACGTTTTAGACCGTCGCTAATAATACTTTTCGCGACGGTTTAAACTGTCACAAATATGATATTAATTTAATTCTACTCTTTTTGCGACGTTTTAGACCGTCATTAATAATACTTTTTGCGACGTCAAATTTTGGCGACGACAACCACTAAAAGTGAAGCTTTTTCTCCTTTTTTGTGTCGGGTTAAACTGTCGCAAAAACCATTGATTAACTATCGCTACAAGAAAGCGACGGTTTGTAACCGCCGCAAATACTTTTTGTCACGACCCCTTCCGCCACCCCCCGTTTCCAGTCACAAAAAGTTTTTTGCGACGATATGTGAACCTTTTGCGACGTTTATGACCATCGCAAAAGTTTTGATTTTTAGTAGTAATTTCAAATTCATTCTTTAAATATTTTGCGATTTTTGTAAGCTCTTTTGGAGTTCCTATAAGATTCAAATCATCAATACATACTACAACAATTGCAAATTTGAATTTTGATTTCTTCATAAAAATGCATGGGCAAATTGCCACATGCGTCTAGATTGTTTCAACCCGTATAGAGATCTTTGTAACTTGATTGAATAAACACTTATGGGTTTGAAATTAGATACTTTTGGCATTTTAAATCCTTTAAGGACTTTCATATATATATATATATATTGCTATCTAGTGATCCATATAAATATGCCATAACTATATCCATTAGACGCATGTCTAAATTTCTGTGATTACCAAGCTAATCAAGAATCTGAATGTAATTGCATCCATTACGGGTGAATATGTTTCCTCATAATCAATACCAAGTCTCTGCGAGAAACCTTACGCAACAAGTCGTGCTTTATATCTTACAATTTTATTTTGCTTATTGCGTTTTCGAACAAACACCCATTTATATCCCACAAGTTGTATCCTTTCAGGGGTTTGGACTACAGATCCAAATACTTCACGTTTTATAAGCGAGTTTAACTCTGCTTGTATTGCTTCTTTCCATATTGGCCAATCATTTCTCTGTTGATATTCCTCGATCGTTTATGGTTCATTGTCATCATCACTTTTGATAATGCTTTTTGCATTACTTCTGGTAATGTCAAAAGCAACTTCAAACGAAAATATGTTGTCGACAATAGTTTTATTTATATCCCAAATATCTCATGTACTTATATAATGTATTGAGATCTCATTATTTTAAGGTACCTTTTCCACCTTAGGGAATAACTCTTCAAGAGGTTCATTTTCTGGAGGTTTATAAGTAGGAGATTTTGATAGACTTACTATAGCCTATTTTGTGGTTCTAGCCTCTTCATGAGTGCTTTCATTTATAGGTATGATCTATTTAGGAAATCTAGTTATGGTCTGTTCTAGAGTATAAACTTTTAGTTCTTGAGCTTTCATTTTTCAAGGAATTTTGTCTTTTGCACCGACAGGTCTTCCACGCTTCTGGTGTGTCTTAGACTTATTTGTTGCTATGCTCACTGATTGTTCGACAGGGACATCATTTCTTGCAAGGGTATTAGCTACTGGTATGTAAGATTTTGTCATAATTTTTGTGTTGGTGAATGCATCTGGTAACTAATTTGCAATACTTTGCAAATGAATGATCCTTTGAACTTCTAGTTCACATTGATTAGTACGAGAATCAAGATGAGATAACGTTGAAGTATTCCAAGTGATTTCTTATCAAGCTTCAGGCTACGACTTGTCTCCGCCTAATGATGGGAAAATTGTTTCATCAAAATGACAATCCGTAAATTGTGTCTAAAACACATCACCAGTCAAAGGTTCTAGATATCTAATAATTGATAGAGAATCAAAACTAATGTACACTCCAAGTCTACATTGTGGACCCATCTTGGTGCATTGCAGGGGTGCAATAGGGACATATATAGCACAACCAAATACTCTAAAGTGACTAATATTTGGTCGATGACCAAATACTAACTGTAATGGCAGGTACTCATGATATGCAGTTGGTTTGACACGAATTGAAGATGTCGCATGCAAGATAGAATGACCCCATGCTGAAATAGGTAATTTGTTTTTCATAAGCAAAGGCCGAGCAATCAACCAAAGTCCCTTAATAAAAGATTCAGCGAAACCATTTTGGTTATGAGTGTGTGCAACAAGATGCTCAATATCAATGCCAATGGACATGAATAATAATCAAATGCTTGAGATGTAAATTCACTAGCGTTATCTAGACAAATTATCTTGATATGATGGTTTGGAAAATATGCTCGTAATCTATTTGTTTTAACAAGGAGTCTAGCAAATGCAATAACACATGTACAGAGTAAACAAATATGTGACCATCTAGTATGTGCATCTATTAAAACCATAAAATAACGAAAAGGTCCACAGGAAGGGTGTATGGATCCACATATATCCCTTTGAATTATTTACAAAAAGGATGAAGATTCAACAATGACTTTTGTGGGTGATGGTCTAGTAATTAATTTCCCTTGTAAAGAGGCAGAACATGAGTAATCACTTAGTAAAAGAATCTATTGGTTCTATAATGGATGTCAATGTGAATTTTTAATTATTCGACACATCATGATGGATCCTAAATGCCCAAGTCAGTCATGCCATAACATAAACACTTTTGGGTCAGAGCACTTCTGGTGCATGACAATATGTGACTAATCATTTTTATTGTCATACAATACAATCCAGAGGAAAATGCAGGAATTTTTTCTAATACCAGCTTCTGGCCAGAATTTGTTGAAATGATAAATAAATACTCTTCCTAACCTTTATTTATAGTTTCAATATGATAACCATTACGATGTATATCTTTGAACGGCTCTTTTTCGCATTTTTTCTCACATTTTTTTCTCTAATTCTCTAATAGTGCATCCTATCAACACGCCGCTTGCTCTCACAAGTTTTTTTAATCTAGGGTGAGGTGCCCTTGATGGTCTCCGGACAATGTGGTGGTTGTTTTGGATTTTTTCCCACATAAATTTAAAAGAAATTAAAGAGACTTACCTAATACAAGGTGATGGAACAAACTAAAACAAACAAAGAGGGAACAAACAAAGCAATCTATTCACATTAATGTATTTGGGAGGGGAAAGATTGAGTACACACCTAACATTATTTGATGTTTTGCCTTATAAAAGAAACCTAATAAGAAGAAAAAAAATCTAGATTTTAGTGTTCTTGGTTGTTCAAAACAAAAAATAAAAAAATTAGTGTTCTCAAGGGAAAGTTTCCCATTCTAAAACACAAGTACCAAAATGTGGATTCCTAGAAGACTTCTATTTTATTTGTTTAGCTTCAAGACATCTATTATCTTTAGAATAACACCAAAACTCTACATGACAACAATAAAAAAATAAAAAATAAAAACTCAAATATCAAGATGCCATTTACTCTAGAATTCATGGTACCATCATCTCAGAATTTAAGGGACAAAAGTAATAAGATAATTAAAAGAAAAAAATCCATATAAGACAAAATAAATTTTCTTTATAGGCACATGCTGAGCTTACAATTAAAACATGTCAAAAACAGTGGAAAATGTTGACACAAATTACTTTTGTTTACCCAGGACCAATAAAATAGAATATCCTTGGGCCATCTTTATAACAAGTCTAGACAGAGAGGCAAAAATAGGGGGAAAATGATGATTTCCCAAAGGAGAAAAACATGATATACACAAAGCATGAATGAACTGTCAAGAAGAGAGTTCAATGGGGTACCTTGAAGCATGACACTTGTTGAAGTCTAAAGATATGGCTTCAACCAATGAAACCAAAAAAGAAAATAGTAAGTAAAAATTATAGGAAGATACGGACCAGTTTAAGCATTAGCAAACTATGAAATTAGAGAGAAACTTCAATATCAGGATCAAATATGTTAGATTCAAAATATGAAAACACCTAATGTAAAATTTTGGGAACAAATCCATAGATAGGAGTCAAAATATTTTCCACATCAAATATAAGGGAAAGATATTCTGTAACGCCCCGAAATAAACACAACATACCCATCTCTTAACAACCGATAAATAGAAACATAAATGAATTGGTAAGCTTTCATTAATCAGAGTTTGATATACAAAAGGTGACATGCGATATACATTCATAAATAGTACATCCTGAATCTACAGCATGTGTTACAAGATTGAAAAAAGAAATGAAAGCTAAACAGATAATCATATGCCCTAAAGGCTTACATCTTTCCAAGTCAATGCTTGGGTACATCAAAAGTGAGTCGTAAGCTCAATACAGATAAAGCCCTAGGCTTGCACAAAATTAAATACAAAATAATGACAATGAGCCTTCAGCTCCACAGTCCTCCTAAACTAAGTCCTTAGTAGAGGCATATCACCAGTACTTGAAATGTTTTTCCCACATAGGGTGAGCCAAAGCTCAGTAGAGATACTACAACACAATGTATAAATCTTAACAAAGCCATAAGGTTTTATGCATATGCAATGCCAGTACCAAAACATTTATATCCTTTTCAAAAGCCATGCTATGCTAGTTTTATATCTCAATTCTCAAAAATGATGCCCTTTATAATAGAAAGAAGGTGGAAATCTCAAATCGATACAACCTTTCACGGATATTTTGTCCGCGGGAAAACGTCAAACGGCACCCATGTAAACGTAGCCTATACAAGCGCTACTATTGCCATTTTATGAATATATCATCCGGGAGAATTGGTACCTATGTATACGCACGTTTTTCAGGCTTTCACCCTGGACACACAGGCCAACTTAATTTGGTGATAC